GGGAATTGGGGCAGGAGAAAGGTCAGGGAATTTGGGATGGGAATGGAGTGGGAATTTGGGAATATGGGAATGGGAATTGGGGCAGGAGAAAGTCAGGTCAGGGAATTTGGGAATGTGGGAATTTGGGAATTCAGGGTGGGAATTGGGGCAGGAGAAAGTCAGGTCTGGGAATTTGGGGTGGGAATTTGGGAATGGGAATTGGGGTGGGAATTGGGGCAGGAGAAAGTCAGGTCAGGGAATTTGGAAATTCAGGGTGGGAATTGGGGCAGGAGAAAGTCAGGTCTGGGAATTTGGGAATGTGGGGTGGGAATTTGGGAATATGGGGATGGGAATTGGGGCAGGAGAAAGTCAGGTCAGGGAATTTGGGATGGGAATGGAGTGGGAATTTGGGAATATGGGAATGGGAATTGGGGTGGGAATATGGGAATGGGAATATGGGACGGGAATTCAGGGTGGGAATTGGGGCAGGAGAAAGTCAGGTCTGGGAATTTGGGATGGGAATTTGGGAATTCAGGGTGGGAATTGGGGCAGGAGAAAGTCAGGTCTGGGAATTTGGGATGGGAATGGAGTGGGAATTTGGGAATATGGGAATGGGAATTGGGGCAGGAGAAAGTCAGGTCAGGGAATTTGGGAATGTGGGGTGGGAATTGGGGTGGGAATTGGGGTGGGAATTGGGGCAGAAATACGGGAATGGGAATATGGGATGGGAATATGGGACAGGGTGGGAATTGGGGCAGGAGAAAGTCAGGTCAGGGACCGGAATGGGGCAGGAATTGGGGTGAAATTTGGGTGGGAATATGGGATGGGAATTGGGGTGGGAATTTGGGGTGGGAATTCAGGATGGGAATTTGGGACGGGAATTAGGGGCGGGAATTCCGAGTGGGAATTCTGGGATTTTCAGTGCCCAAATTCCTCCATCCTAACCCCCAAATTCCTGGATTTCCAACCCCTGAATTCCCCCTGGAAAAAGCAGGAAAATCTCCTGCCCTTGAGGAATTTTGGGTCTGGAATTTTGGCAATTCCACCTTCAATTCCAGGAGAATCCATTCCCTGTCCTTTGAGTAACAATTCCAGAACATTCCCAAAGCTTTTCCTTGCCTGGGAGACCCCAAATCCCAACCCGGAGACCCCAAAAAATCCCGTTTTTCCCAGTTTTTCCCATTTTTTTCCCCTCAGGAGAATCCGGGAAGCGTCTCCCTACGGCCACCTCCCGTCCTGGCGCCTCCTGTCCGTCATTGTCAAATGCGGTGACGACCTCCGGCAGGAGCTCCTGGCCTTCCAGGTGCTCAAACAGCTCCAGGTSAGSCTGATCCCAAAAARAAATYGGGAATTTTTRTGGGATTTTATGGRATTTTAATGGCATTTAAATCAGATTTATTGGGATTGTAATTGGATTTTTATTGGGATTTAATGGGGCGACCTCCGGCAGGAGCTCCTGGCATTCCAGGTGCTCAAACAGCTCCAGGTCAGGCTGATCCCAAAAAAAATCGGGAATTTTTGTGGGATTTTATGGGATTTAATGGGATCTGATAGGATTTTATGGTATTTTAATGGGATTTAATGGGGCGACCTCCGGCAGGAGCTCCTGGCCTTCCAGGTGCTCAAACAGCTCCAGGTCAGGCTGATCCCAAAAAAATTCGGGAACTCTTATGGGATTTTATGGGATTTTAATGGGATTTAAATCAGATTTATTAGAATCGTAGTGAAATTTTAATGGGATTTAATGGAGCAACCTCCGGCAGGAGCTCCTGGCCTTCCAGGTGCTCAAACAGCTCCAGGTCAGGCTGATCCCAAAAAAAATCGGGAATTTTTATGGGATTTTATGGGATTTATGGGATTTAAATCAGAATTAATGGAATTGTAATTGGATTTTATTGGGATTTAATGGGGCGACCTCTGGCAGGAGCTCCTGGCCTTCCAGGTGCTCAAACAGCTCCAGGTGAGGCTGATCCCCAAAAAAATCGGGAATTTTTATGGGATTTTAATGGGATTTCAGGGGATTTCACAGGATTTAATAGGATTTAATGGGATTTCAATGGGATTTCACATGATTTTGACGGGATTTTCTGTAATTTTATGTGATTTTCTGTAATCTTATGTGATTTTCTGTGATTTTAACAGGATTTTTTGTGATTTTTGGTAATTTTAGTGGGATTTTTTGTGATTTTCTGTGATTTTCTTTGATTTTAACAGGATTTTTGGTGGGTTTTTTGTGATTTTTGGTGGTTTTTAGTGATTTTTTTTGTTGTTTTTTGGTGGGTTTTTTGTGATTTTTTTTGTGATTTTTGCTGGGTTTTTTGTGATTTTTTGTGATTTTCTGTGATTTTCTCTAATTCTAACGGGATTTTGTGTCATTTTCTGTGATTTTAACAGGATTTTTGATGGGTTTTTTGTGATTTTTTGGTGATTTTTGGTGTTTTTTTGTGATTTTTTTTGTGATTTTTGCTGGGGTTTTTTGTGATTTTTTGTAATTTTCTATGATTTTCCGTAATTTTAACGGGATTTCTTTTCTCCCTCACCCTTAGTCCATCTGGGAGCAGGAGCGCGTGCCGCTGTGGATCAAACCCTACAAGATCCTGGTGATCTCAGCCGACAGCGGGATGATCGAGCCCGTGGTCAACGCCGTCTCCATCCACCAGATCAAGAAACAGTCGCTGCTGTCGCTGCTCGATTATTTCCTGCAGGAGCACGGCAGCTCCAACAGCGAATCCTTCCTGACCGCCCAGAGGAACTTCGTGCAGAGCTGCGCCGGGTACTGCCTGGTGTGCTACCTGCTGCAGGTCAAGGACAGGTGAATTTTATAGGATTGTATGGGATTTTATAGGATTTTATAGGGTTTAATGGGGTTTAATGGGGTTTTATTGGGGTTTATGAGGTTTAATGGCATTTATTGGGGTTTAATGCACTGGGTACTGCCTGGTGTGCTACCTGCTGCAGGTCAAGGACAGGTGGGGTTTATAGGGTTTTATACAATTTTATTGGGGTTTTATAGGGTTTGATAGGATTTAATGGGGTTTAATGGCATTTATTGGGGTTTAATGGGGTTTAATGCACTGGGTACTGCCTGGTGTGCTACCTGCTGCAGGTCAAGGACAGGTGAATTTTATAGGGTTTGTGGGGTTTGAATGGGGTTTATGGGATTTTATTGGGGTTTATGGGATTTTATTGGGGTTTATGGGGTTTAATGGCATTTATTGGGGTTTAATGTATTGTAATGTATTTTAATGGGCTTTAATGCACTGGGTACTGCCTGGTGTGCTACCTGCTGCAGGTCAAGGACAGGTGAATTTTATAGGGTTTGATAGGATTTGATAGGATTTAATGGGGTTTGTGGGGTTTAATGGTGATTGAATGGGGTTTAATGAGGTTTAATGCATTGGGTACTGCCTGGTGTGCTACCTGCTGCAGGTCAAGGACAGGTGAATTTTATAGGGTTTTATTGGGTTTTATAGGGTTTGTGGGGTTTTATTGGGATTTCATGGGGTCTGAATGGGGTTTAATGGTGTTTAATGCACTGGGTACTGCCTGGTGTGCTACCTGCTGCAGGTCAAGGACAGGTGGGATTTATAGGATTTGATAGGGTTTTATAGGATTTGATAGGATTTTATAGGGTTTAATGGCATTTATTGGGGTTTAATAGCATTTATTGGGGTTTATTGTGTGGGGTACTGCCTGGTGTGCTACCTGCTGCAGGTCAAGGACAGGTGAATCCTGGGAATTTTGGGGTTTGACAGGATTTTATGGCATTTTAATGTGATTTAAATGAGATTTTACGGGATTTTCTGGGATTCCATGGGATTTTCTGGGACTCCATGGGGTTTTCTGGGA